TAAGATACAAATATACCCCTAATGTGTGTTGTCATATGGCGTGCTGACCCCTGCCTGATATTTCTCTATGCGAATAGTCTGCTGGAAACAAACAGGTCAATGAATAATGTGCAGCCTGAATGTTGTGTCACAAGACAGGACGCACCGTAGTCAGGTTCGTGCCTTTGGCCCCAATGTTTTCATGTTACATAGCTGACATACTTCGGACACTTAGGGCGACGGTGAATTTTCCTCAAGTACAATGAAGGGATTTTTGTCACCACGGGCTAAATGCGTCATAGATGCTTTGCCTTCTGACTCCTCGCGGGCAGCGATGGAGTAAGTCCTACGCGGTAAGTAGGTAATTGTCTAGCCGTGTGTCGAAAGGCTCAGTACCGTACAGAGATTAGGGAGTTGGCTGTTTGTCAATCTCTCCGCGACTCACAGATGAGGTGGGGCGCATTTTTGCACGTTGCTGTCCGCTAGTGAGAGTAGCAGTAGCACGTGTAGGGTACAGTTGATGGATTCGCGACTCGCAGAACGTGAGATTCGCTTTTCAGCTGCATTCTTGTGGCTCCCAGAATGCGGAAGTCGGAGAAGAGCGTTGGGCGGTCACAAAAGTTGATTGATTTTATCCGTTGGTGGCTTGCGGCCACCAAGGGGCGTTCGCTAAGGTGGACACGGTTTACTGACCCTTAGCACTGGCGGTGAATTCGGCCACTGAGTGTACCGTTATTATAATTATTCCAGCAACTCCAGAAGGCGAGGTTCGCCCATGTGAGCCGATGAGGGATTCCAGGGTGCCGATCTATGATTCCGGCGACAGAGCATTGTGAGCCGATGAGGGAATCCAGGGGGCCGATCTATGATTCCGGCGACAGAGCATTGTGAGCCGATGAGGGAATCCAGGGGGCCGATCTATGATTCCGGCGACAGAGTATTGTGAGCCGATGAGGGAATCCAGGGGGCCGATCTATGATTCCGGCGACAGAGTATTGTGAGCCGATTGGGGATTCAAGGGTGTCGATCTATGATTCCAGCGACAACGTATTGTGAGCCGATGAGGGATTCCAGGATGCCGATCTATGATTCCGGCGACAAAGTAATGTGAGCCGAGCGACAAAGCAATGTGAGTTTCCGGCGAGCCGACGAGCGGCTCCGGCGTTATTTAGTAACGGTAGAGAGAGAGAGAGAGAGAGAGAGAGAGAGAGAGAGAGAGAGAGAGAGGAGAGAGAGAGAGAGAGAGGGGGGGGGGGGCTACGTGGTGATGCCGCGGCGAGCCTTGCACCAGGCGGCTACTATTTCCTGGAGCTAAATTGCAAGGCATACGTGATGTATGGCTGTACGGTGTCATTCATAATCTGGGGATCTGATCGTTGCACATAACCTGTAGACTGTTTGTAGCGAACAAACTTATAGGCTTCCCTTTAACATGACCGGTGATAAGCATGCATGAGACAGTGTTAATGTATGAAGACTTGTTGTGGAATCCCAGTAAAGTGGCGTTTGCAGCCCATGTTAGGACGAAAGCATCTGTTTGGTGAAAGCTCATGTAATGTCGGTGAGTCACTGTTTTCACCACCATTTGCAGTCGCCCCTTTCAGTCGGTTCATGACAGGGAATTGCCTCGATGGTAATTTCCTGTAGATCAATACAGTGGGCCAACTAGCCAACAGAAGCCATTAACAATGGCGTGTAATTAACCCAAACAGATATGATTATTACCGGTAGACGTATCACTCCCAAGGAGCTCTACTTTCGTGAGGTTGACTATTAGTGAGTACAACTTATATCTCTTGAAAGACATTCATGACATTATGCATTACACAACATCGTGTGTGGGCACGTAACCTCAAAAACCATACTTGATGGGAACTTGATGTCATCAGTCAGTCACGGCATTTGCTGCTTTGATGCAAACTGGGCTTTGGGAATGTCGTGATTGTCGTTTTGTGGCGGTCAAAAATTTGCCGGCTGGGCATGACAACTTTGCCAAGAAATGAGGAGCCAATAATCCTAGTTGCGCGGAAGGCAAAAATCGAGTCGAGGGAAGTAACGATATAGCTGAAAAGTCACACATCGTCATGCCGGAATCCCTCGTGGGCTCATATGTGCGAAACTCGCTTCTGGAGTCGATGGAATAATCCTAACAACGGTATCCTCAGCGATCGAACTCACTGCTAGTGCTAAGGATCAGTTACTCATGCTCACCTTAACGAACCCTCTTTGGTGGCCGCAGGCCAATCCACCAACGGAAAAATCAACCAACTTTTTCCGACCGCCCAACGCCCTTTTTCGACTTCCGCATTCTGGGAGTCGCAAGAAGGCAGCTGAAAAGCGAATCTCACGTTCTGCGAGTCGCGAATCCATCAACGGTACCCTACACGTGCTGCTGCTACTCTCACCAGCGGCCAGCGACGTCAAAATGCGCCCCAACTCATCTGTGAGTCGCGGAGAGATTGACCAACAGCCAGCTCACTAGTTTCTGTACGTCACGGGGCCTTTCGACACGCGGCTAGATAATTACCTACGTACCGCGTAGGACTTACTCCATCGCTCCCTGCAAGGAATCATAAGGCAAAGCATGTATGACGCATTCAGCCCGTGGTGACAAAAACCCCTTCACTGCACTCGTGGAAAATTCAGTCGCCCTTAGCTGTACGAATTATGTGAGCTATGCAAGGTAAAGACATTAACGTCGAAGGCATGGACCTGACTACAGCACGTCCTCTCTCATGGCACACAGTTCAGACCGCACATTATTCATTGACCTGCTTTTCCTACAGACTGTTCATTGAAACACAAAGAGAAATATCAGACAGGGGTCGGCACGCCATATAACAACACACATCAGGGGCATATTTGTATATTAGATATGGTGATCACTACGATACGATGTAAGCACGAAAAGAGTGCGCGACATATAACAGATCACAATTAATGTGCGAGCACGTAATCTCAAACAGACCTACAGAACGCCTATTCTTAATTATCCAAAGGGGAAAAAGCCGAGGATCTTAGAGAATCGCCGAGGGGTCAGCGATTCTTCCGCCGGGCTCACATTTTGCGGAGGTGTAAGCGCCGAGCGCCCGCCCGTCGGTGCGCCAGGCCGATAGGGCCCCCATCACCTGTCCGTTTCACTATCCTTCCGACAGCCGACTGTTACTGTTCTGTCTGAACGTGTCCATACACCGACGGGGTCGGTGTTTTGATTCGTCCTCTCTTGATCGTCCTGGCACACCTGTGCGGAACAAGCGCCTGGACCAAACACAACGAACAAAGACCGTACCCGCACGTCGAAAAAGCAGCTTTTTGTGGGCCAATGCGAGGCCTTTTTTTCCTTCGACGGACCCAAGGTCACCTCCGAGGAGAGGGGAAATTACTTCCCGGCATAACGACAGACAAGAATTACGTTGAATCGGCATATGCTGCCCGGCGCAAAGCAAGGGAGAAGGTATTTTGAGGTGACGTTACGCTAACTTGGCCCATTTTTTGTCTAGCAAGATCAGCACGTAGCCTGCGGCGGATAGATACACCGCGCGCCATATCTGAAGCTAACCTATGCAGCTCCGTGCCCGGGATCACAAAAACACACGTCGCAAAAATAATCTACCTGCACTTAAAAAGCCAGCATGTGGCCCTTGGCGGATAAATACGCCGCGCACGATATTACAAAGCGTTGGTAGCGTAATTTGGGTTCAAAAATAATTAAAATGGCTATCCTTATTATGTCTGGATGGTGCTGCGGTGGCACTACGCCGCGCCTTAATTGTAGCCCTGAGGCTACACTAGAGCATACTTTCTAAATATTCCTCAAACGTGGAACACTCCCTTTTATAAAGCGATTTCGAATGGTAAAAAAGACATCGGTAGAACGAACCCATGATCTTCAACACATATATCTTCCCATTCTAGTGCTTCAAGCCACTTTCAGCTCTCCTCCGGGCTTCCCATGGACCGGCCACTGAGGCAAACACTTCCGGCCGCGCCCTGGAAGCACGAAGCCTCGCGCACAGTACTGGACTGAGTAGACAGGTTAGCGCTGTGGCGGCGGCTGTAGCTGTAGCTGTACAAAACTCACAAGGTGTAGGGGGCATTGAAACGACTCTTGGGACGCTTAAGCATGCGCTTTGTTGTTTCCCGGAAAGGTTTGTTTCCAGTGGGAATAACGACAGCTAACATTAGTCCGACATCTGCCAACATCACTGGATCTGGTCAAACACGCACCAACGCATCTAGGTTACGTTGGAATCGTGTTTTTCATACTTACGTTCCTCATGTCAGCTTTGACTGAACCGTGGTCGGGACGCATTTTGCGTGGTATGCATGTATGTTGCGCGTGTATCAGAAACGTCGTTTTACATTTTGCGGCATTGCTAGAATTTCTACCGCCAGTTTTTAAAAGCATTGTCAAAAACGTAGGCCGTGCAAATGCATCGCCAAAACGTTTACAACAGATTGCTTGGACTTGGGGGAGCTGGAGTAATATTTTACATACATGCTGCACGTCATAAATTGATGCCGATCGTCTTGAGAAATAGGAGAAAAGAAACAGAAGGAAATAACCAGGCCAATAAATAGGAGCACTTCGGCCAAGTAAATCCCAGCCGAAGCTGTTGCACTGCGGAAATACGCTGAACTCTAGACGCAGACTCCCAGAAAACTCCATGAATTTAATTACAAAAGCGTTAGCCACGTTAGAGGCCGGGTACAAAACCAGCATCACCCTGACATCCTGGACCTGAAACCTCAGAATCACCCAGCCCCGGCCATCGTAGATTACGACAAATCCCTTTCAACAGCCGGAAAACTAATCTAATGTGCTTCTTATACCCCGAACGTCAAACTCCTGGCTGCGCTCAAGTGAGTGTGGATGATGATGATTTGGGGTTTTAGGGCGCATCGACCGCTGAAGGTCATGCAGCGCCCATCAAGTGAGTGTGGAAACGTCCACAACATTCCCACCTCATCTTAAACGCTTCGACAGCCCGGTCATACAGCGTAACCCGCACACAACTGGCAATACAGGGATAATGTATTCATTTAAATATTCAAATCACACGCGGGCGGCTGATATCCAAATTAACAACGAAGCACTGATTTGGCCCGCACTTCTCACACCGCTGCTACACGCGACGCGCGCAGTCCGCCAGCTCCCCGTCTTTGCCGCGGCCACACCCCGCCCGGCGCGGAACCGAGATGGAATGGCGTCTCACGCGCGCGACAGAGAACCGCTACAAATCGTAAGAAAAGGAATTCGCGTGTGAGCTTATCATGGCGCGCGGCGGCGCCGGTCTCTCCTCAGCAGAGGTGCTGGTCTCGCGAGCGGCCCAGCTCACGACATGGTGCCGAACACCGGGTTGTGCCGGCAGATGCTGGGTCCGTACTCCTCGTACTGCGCCTTGGTGTGGCACACCTGGTAGAACTCCGGCTGCGGACGGGCCGGCGCCGGTCAGCGACAGGTCAACACAGACCGCCGACTGCGTCAGCGGAAACAAGCTGTCCGGGGAACCCACCGCGGCTCCCACAACCCTGACGCCAGTGGCCGGACAAACCACCGTGCTAGCTAGCCGCCAAATCCAATGCAATTTCAAGCGATGAGGCTTAAAGGTGCGATGCAAGACGCGACAGCGATCACATTTTGCCCTGACATTTCGACTCAAGAACCTCTAAAAGTCGCACAACCCGAGAAGGCAACTCACCACCTTCTCCCCATCAGATCACTCGCTTCAAGCGTGTAATGAATTTCGCAAAATACTCCGGCTCACTGGCGCAACACACAACATCCAACACCACAAACACTAATTAATGTGTGCGTCCAGCGCCACCTAGCCGACCATCGGCGGCCTGGGGCGGTGGCGCCCCAGGGCGGACGCCAGGGCCCAGTGCCGGCGGCGACAGGACCCACCGTTGAGGCAAGCATGCTGCCGCCGAACCAGACGGCGTAGCGCTGCATGTGGTGCGAGATCACCTGCACGTCCATCGGCTTCGGCTGTAACAGCGACCGCCGCGGTCAGTCAGCGCCGGCTCACGCTGCCAGCGACGGCGCAGGCCTCCGCTCGGCAGGAGCGAAGGCGGCACGCGTCGATCCAGAATGCATTTCGGGTCGTAGCTGCATCAGTTCACTGACGTCATGTGCCGCCGCGCTGACGGTGCTCAAACCCTCACTGCACCCGGCCCTGCTCACGCCCCAGTAACATCGACGCGTCCCTGCCCACACCCCACTGACAGCGACGCGTCCCTGCCCACACCCCACTGACATTGACAAGTCCCTGCCCACACCCCACTGACATCGACGCGTCCCTGTCCACACCCCAATGACACCAACGCGTCCCTGCCCACACCCCACTGACATTGACAAGTCCCTGCCCACACCCCACTGGCAGCGACGCGTCCCTGCCCACACCCCACTGACATTGACAAGTCCCTGCCCAAACCCCACTGACATTAACAAGTCCCTGCCCACACCCCACTGGCAGCGACGCGTCCCTGCCCACACCCCACTGGCATTGACGCGTCCCTGCCCACACCCCACTGACATTGACGCGTCCCTGCCCACACCCCACTGACATCGAAGAGTCCCTGCCCACACCCCACTGACAGCGACGCGTTCCTGCCCACACCCCAATGACAGCGACACGTCCTTGCCCACAACCCACTGACATCGACGCGTCCCTGTCCACACCCCAATGACATCGACGCGTCCCTGCCCACACCCCACTGACAGCGACGCGCCCCCGCCCACATCCCAATGACATCGACGCGTCCCTGCCCACACCCCACTGACAGCGACGCGCCCCCGCCCACATCCCACTGACAGCGACGCATCCCCGCCCACACCCGACTGCCTGTACCCGCCCGCCCCGCTGCAGCGGCGGCCACTGACCGTGATGCGTCCCTGGCTGAGCGCCTCGCTGCGCTTGAGGCGTACGTCCACCTGGCGCTTCACGTCACGCTGCAGGCGGCGGGCTGAAGTCGCGGAACATGGTGCTGCCGCCCGAGAGCACGATGTTCTTGTACAGCGGCCGGCGCACGTCAATCGGGGCAGCTCTGGATCACGTTGTCCACGATCTCCGAGATCGGCGTGGTGAAGTCCGGGTTGGCGAACTGGCCGGCCGAGGCGAGACGGCGCGCGTGAGGTCGGACCGCGGCGCCGGAGCCACGCATGGAGCGCGCGCCGGACAGGGCACAGAGCACGCGCTGGACAGGGCACAGAGCACGCGCCGGACAGGGCACGGAGCACGCGCTGGACAGGGCACAGAGCACGCGCCGGACAGGGCACGGAGCACGCGCTGGACGGGGCACGGAGCGCGCGCTGAACAGGGCACAGAGCACGCGCTGGACAGGGCACAGAGCATGCGCTGAACAGGGCACAGAGCACGCGCTGGACAGAGCACGGAGCACGCGCTGAACAGGGCACAGAGCACGCGCTGAACAGGGCAGGTGACGCACGGCCGGCACGACAGGGCGTCGAGCTGGCCAGTCGGGCCTCGCGTATTGCGTGGGGCTGGGAGGTATTCATGTAATCCGGACACGCAAGTTCATCCAACCAGCAATAATACGAAATGCGTCCAAAGCGAACTCCACTCCACAACCAAACACGGGAGTGACTGCGCCACAGATGCGCCCACACCACACCTCGGCACCGGTGTCCGTCCGACCGGCTGGCTGGACTGCCGCGGGTTCCGACAGTGACGGCGCTCCCCTCCCCTCCCCCGCCGCCCGTCGCACAGCCTACCTCCGGGTGGAAGAAGATCTCGGGCCCCAGGAAGCGCTCGTAGCCGACGTCCACCTCGAACGGCTGCTTGGTCACCGAGTTGACGCCCTGGTACTGCCGGATCCACTTAGACGGGTCAGAGTCGTACTTGGCGAACTCTTTTGCAATGTCTGGACATATGTAGGAGTACCTGAAATAGGTTTGGAGGCTCACGCGCTGCTCACAGATCGGGTTTGACGGTGGTGCACTAACTGAACGTCCCACAGGAGCACTACTGCGAACATGGTAAAACATTCGCAACGAGCAACATTCTTCATTCACGGCACCTTCCTGCTAGGTAGTACAGATCATGAGAAAACAACAGCAGTCACGGACAGCCGCAGCCACAGCATGTCAACTGTACTAACTGTTTCAGACCGAAAATTACCGCAGCGACACGCGTTCAGTACGCAAGCAGCGTTTTGGGCGAACAGTGACCTCACAAGTTGGCGCGCCCTAAATCTCCAATCATCACCTACACGAGCAGCGTATCGTGCGGCCACATCAGCACCCCGCCGCGGCCGAGCGCACGCTGCCAGAGTCCAGCCGTAGTCGCAGTGGTACGTCTTCGATGGCGGCCAGCACCAGACAGTGAGCCAGGACCACCAAATACAAGCTCAGGTGAGCTCGCCGCTGGACCAATCGAAACGATCGCCGCGATGGTGGCCGTTTTAGATGGCCGCCCCGTCGGCTACTTCTTTCCCACGGATTCGCAGTAATGAGCCTCGAAAAACTTCTTGGAACCATACATATGACGGATAATGGCCTTCAAACACGATTTCCTACTGCTAAGTTGTTTGGCTCGTTGCCCATGTCAACACGCGATTTCGAATCGACGAGACAACTGCCATCAACGGCGTTTCACAATGATAACCCAGCACCGAGCAAGAACATCGTACATCTAGTTGGTGCACCAGGCCATCCCACTGCAGCATGCCGGCACTCGCGTGTGCTGGGACAGCTGGTCACGCTCCACTGTCGGGGCCTGTGTGCACGTGCGGCCGGCAGACGGCGGCCGCGGCCGCGGCGGTAGGACCGGGGCGGGCGCGCCCCGGTCCTGCCGCCGCGCCGTATCGGGGCCCTTCCTGCCCGGCCACACCACATCCGGCCCGCTCCGGGTGCTCAGGGAGGGCAGACCGCCTCACACCACACCGCTCCCGGTATCGGGCGGCACTGAACAGAGACGACCCGGCCGGCCGGCCACCTCTTAGAACGGCCACCGGTCCGCGGTACCGTCATGCAGCACGGCACCGCTGGCGGCGCTACAAAAGCAAGACCCTGACGGGTACAAAGAAGCTCTGGCTAATGATGCCCAGCTGAAGCCAATCTTCCAGTTACATACAATGAAGACGTACTCGGACAAATACAACAAATTCTGTACAAGTATAACTGAATGGCCAGCATGCAAATACATAGCTGTCTGAAGAAGCAGCCAGTATACCTGCAAACACTACAATGATCATATGCGACCACCTAAAAGGCAAGTTACCAATCAATATGCAGTGCTCAAAACACCAATTACTACAGCCAGAGTAGAACATGTCAATCAAGCATTACGTCACATGTTGTGGGCAGGACTGCCGCGTCCGTGTCGTTGCACAGGCACACCAAGAAGATTGAGAAACCCAAAGAAACTGAGCCTTGGCTGACCAACTAATCAGATCGCTAATACAACCACACAAAACTATACAACAATGAATGGTACTGCACTAGTGAGTCATAACACCCTGTCCTTAATCTGTCGATAAGCTAGCCACTGCAGCCACAGTTGGCACTACGTTCAGAGCCCGCCAGTTTGTTATGACACCCTGGTATTCATATGTCTTTCAGGGCACCGACAACTGTCACTACAATGGGCGCAAGTCGCATTTGGCATAATTACACTGCATCACCTTGAATCATGCACGGTTAAAACGGCATGTGAGCAGCATTTGATGACTCAGAACAGCACACGAGTTCAAAAGGCCCGCCCCGCACCACCCAAAACAGAAGCGCCGTCGCCCGCCTACGCGAGCCCGTCGCGCCCGGCCGCGGCGCCGCTGCGGTCGCTCACCTCTCCTTGATGGCCTTGGCCGTCTCGAGCGACTGCTCGGGCGGCACGCCCACCTCACGCTCGCGAGCAGCGACTGGATGAAGTAGGTGATGTTGCGGCCAGCGATCGGGATATGCTTGATGCAGCTGCCGATCACGTACCCCTCCGCCTGCGCCCGGGTCAAGGTCGGGTCAAGGTCGGGTCGAGTGGGCCACCGAGCCCCACCAAGCCACCCGAGCCAGCCACACCACCCACCAGTCGCCACAGCCCCAATCCGGCGGCACAGGGCCACCGATAACTACACAGCTCCCCTGAATAACTCGACCCCTATCACATGTACAGGTCCATCACGGCGGAGAGCACCAGTCACTGCCCGGAAGGCAACGCCGGACCACACCTATAGCTGATAGGCGATAGATGCCCATCGGCGCGTGGCAGTGGTCGAGCCGCGCCAACCGACTCACCACGGGGATGACGTGGGTGACGCCGTCGCCGCTGTCGATGACGGTGCCTGTCAGGGTGCGGTCGCCCACCTGCCGGCTCGTCCAGGAGGCGGCCAGCGCCAGCACCGCCTGCACCGCGATGTACAGGCCCGGCACGTTGAACGATTCGAACATGATCTCTGCCGGCGGCGGGCGGCAGTCAGGCGTGCGGACGGTCACGGCACGTGGCGGACGGTCATGGCACGCGGCAGACCGTCAGCACACCGGGCACGCCGGAAGGGCAGCGTGATTTCAAGACACATTGCCACTCTCAGGTCGGGTTGGGTTGGGTTTTGATCACGACAGATACAGTGCATTGCACGCATGATATTTCACGGCAGTAAGTTGACACCACGTGAATAATACACGGGTGTTGTTCTTATTTTTGTGTGCGTGCATATTGATGCCACTAGAATGCTTGCTGATCAAAAATGAGTGGGATCAGCCGGGCAAAACAGCTTTCTAATTTTACCTGATTGTTAGACCAATCGGTGCAATTTTACCTAACTGTTGGACCAATCAGAAAATCTTTGTTGGTTGGGGGATGCGCATCTGCCGTGTGCTCGCGGTTCTCGGGCGGGTTGGGGATACACACCTGCCATGTATTTGCGGTTCTCGGGCGGGCCGAGGAGGCGCACCTGCATGCGTACTCGCGGTTCTTGGGCAGGTCGGGGAGGCGCACCTGCCGTGTACTCGCGGTTCTCGGTGCGGGTTGGAGATGCACACCTACCGTGCACTCGCAGTTCTCGGGCGGGGCCGAGGAGACGCACCTACCGTGTACTCGCGCTCCAGGGTGGGTTGGGGGAGGCGCACCTGCCGTGTTCTCGCGGTTTTCGGGCGGGATGGGGGATGGGCACCTGCCATGTACTCGTGGTTCTCGGGCGGGCCGAAGAGGCGTACCTGCCGTGTACTCACGGTTCTCGGGCGGGTTGGGGGGGGGGGCGGGCGCACCTGCCGTGTACTCGCGGTTCTCGGGCGGGTTGAGCGGCGGCTCCGTCAGCAGGAAGTAATGGTCTTCCGGCTCGGCACGCAGGTACTTGAAGATGGACTGCTCCCAGAAGCGCTCCATCAGGTCCCAATCCTCGATGATGCCGTGGCGGACCGGGTACTGCCAGACGGACCCGCGCACAGGTCAATATCGGTGGGCAGGGTACGCAGCGCGGCGTATGCCAGAACAGCGGGGCAGCGGGGGCAGCCACCAGCACCAACAGCCACTCAACTGACCAACAGAAAAGGCCACAGATGCCTGCAAAAGCCACGTGTTGCGTTTACGATCACGAAACGCGAAATTGTTTCGCCTTTATAGGGAACACTTGGTGAAATAGCCCGAGCGCGACCGACCGGCCGTTCAGACGCGGCATCTGCGGCGGACGCCGAGATGGACGGACGGGTCCCATCTGGCCGAACCGACCCCGGCGCGCCCGGCGGCCCGGCGGCCCGGCGGCCCATCGGCGTCGGACCGCCGCCGCCGCCGCCGCTGACCCGCGTGGCGGCGCACCTTGACGGCGTAGCCGGTGGCGTCGAACGCCTCGTCGCCGATGAAGAAGTCGAGGTCCTCGACACCCTTGCCGAGCCGGCGCGCCGCCTGGTCGCCGATGCGCGCCGACTCGCGAATGGCGATCGCCGACGGCATGATGAACTGCGGCTCCTTGTTGCCGGCGAAGCCCAGCTTTGTGTACCTGCCGCAGACGACCGAAGCACGAGCCGTCACCGGCCTGACAGACGGACTGCACAGGGCCGGCACGGTGAACAGTTTCGTCGTCGTTCGTCCTCAATCTGGGGAATGGCTGTTTATGTGCAGAAAAATGCTCCACACATGTCTCTGTTGGCACGGAGTGGTACTCAGGGTGTATAAAAATATTAACAAACTTTTGTGACTGTTAGGGTCACATTGTATCTGGCTGTGAAAGCATTCAATGTTTCAAAATATGATGCATATCATGACTTTGAGGGCAGAGTCTTCTGAACATGGTGTATTGGAGGTCATTTACCCACAGTAACCAACTTTGGATGCACCCAAGGAATGAATCATAAGCAATCCTCATTATTATCATATTGCTTCACTGCCATTTAAATATGTTCTTACATAGAACTATAGAACAGCTGTCTGTGTCTGGTGCACACAGAGTGATCCCTGAACTGGATTGAAGAATGTGAATGAAGTCATATGCTCCAGGGAAATTCAGATGATCCCTAGAGAAAGCTTGATACACATGCTATTTTCACTCCTCCAGCACCAACTGCTGCTAGCTGACGGCTTTAACTAATGCCAGAGTAATCACTGCATGTTCTACTAGCCTCAACATCTATACAATATTGTGGCTCCCCTATGCTTCATGTAGAATTAAAGAAGTACAAATGCATGCCAATGTGATCAGTGTTCTCTTTACAAGAGGATTTCCAATCATTTGTAGCTGATATTTGGTTCTTCACGAGACAATTCTTGAACAATTTTGCTTACATAAAATATGAAAACCATTTGGTAATGGGCTTTACAATGCAATGTTGGAGCACAATTTTACCCCACAATGAATAACACATTATAAAAAAGAATCACTGATGTATCAAAGCACTTAGTCAATATGCTATCCTTAATACTATTTCAAATTCTGGATTTTCTGTAGGCTTATTGATCATTTTACCTATATAGGATCATTTCCAACTTGAAAGCCTCCAAGCTTTCAGTGCTTGTTGCAGACAAGTGTGTGTTGGCAGGCTGAGTGCCTCCTGCTGCATGCAGCCAGGTGGCTTGAGCAAGTCAAACTACTTGTAATAACTATATGCCAAGTGGACTTAAAACTATTGCCAATGTTGTGGATCTGACTGGAACTAACATTGACATGATTACACTATTCAACACAAGATAGGCTTCATGAAACATGTAGATGATC